GGCACGCGCATACGGCCCTGCGTCAGCTTCAAGAATCCTTTGCGATTGTTCCTGTGGACAAAACATCACATAATTTGGCTATTTGCTGTAAAAATTGGTACAAATTCAAACTGTCAAGCCACCTTGACAGTCCTACGTATTCTCGGCCTGCTGAATCAGTGGCTGACATTCTGAATAGCCATGCAGTTTGGAACAATCATTGGAATTATCCTCATGCTGACACATTGCCGTATCTCTTTTGTGTTCTTAAGGCCCATAAATCTCCTCCCACACTCCGTCCTATTCTTGGTATCACTGCCCGAAACAAGCTTTCTTCTTCCTCTTCCCATACGGCCCGGCGAAGTGACCTGCACCCTTCCCAACGAGTCCAGCGTTTGCATCACCAACCGCCTTGCAAGCCGGTAGCTAGTACAACGCCTACTTCGGCTCGTTTGAGTACAGCACTTCAAGGCGTCATCCGTACTCTTCGCGAAAAAGATAATCAACTCTTTCGAACCGAAGGTATTCGATGATGTTGGATTGTTCAGAGCAGTGACGAGGTCATGCTTGACCTCAAAAAGAATAAAGCCTCTCTTAGAGGTCTGGCCCCGCATACAGTTGATTTCACTACTATGTATACTAATCTTTCTCATCAACGAATTCTTGACAATGTTGCTAATGCCGTTGATTAGGCGCATGCCTACGCTCTTGCACAGGTACGGCAGCATACACAGACACGCTCATCGGGTGTTGCTCTTCGTATGCTGGTCCGTGGACCCCGTGCAGGGGAATGGACTACGGATACGGGACCTGACACTCTTTCTGTTTCTGACATTCTTCAACATCTTCGGTTTATTGTTACAAATACATATTTGTATACAGCGGATGGCCGTGTTCATCATCAAGATGTCGGTATCTCTATGGGTACAAACGCTTGTCCCGAGATTGCCAATCTTACACTATTGGGATGAGGCGCAGTACGTGGACAACCTGCAGCGTGTGGATCCCTCTGCTGCTCGCCGATATGCTTTTACATATCGGTTCATTGATGATGTTCTTACCTTTGATTGTCTGCCACCATCATCAGCCCATTATGGTCTTGAATGGAAGGAGACCACTGCGGCAGATGGCTCGTGCACCTTCTTAGGTGCGAAACTGCAGATACGAGCAGACGGATCTCTCAGATTGAGTGTGTTTGATAAGACCGTTGCATGGGATTTTCCTGTTATACGATATCCTAGTGCAACGKCGAACATTCCATCTCATCAGCCTGCAGGTGTGTTCACTGGCCAGCTAACGCAGTTTGAGCAGATCTGTGACAATTAGCGTGATTTCAAAACGGCAGCAACCATGCTTGTCCGCCGTTTGCTCTCGCGTGGTCATGCTCCGTCAACACTGGCCCGTGGATGGACTTGTTACATTCGAGCTCGCCAGCGTCGACATCCAATACATGTAACTCGCCTTACGCAATGGTTTCGACGTATGCTCCTCTGGTCCGTGCACCATCCTCTTCCACCCTCTCCTCCCCTTTCCTCCTCTTCTCCTTCTCCCATCCCCCCTTCTTCTCCCCCTC